ACAACTATTGCCCACTATTGAGTTACCCATCCGCGTTTCAAATTGTACCACTTACGCAGAGAATTACTCAAGACAGACCTTACGAAATAATATCTGGTTTAAGCACAAATTGATTTTGTGGTAATTATTTATTTATATGACTTCCTTTACGCAATATATTGCGAAAAACGTTGGCAACTGTTTTTAATTTCATCAATTATTATCTCATCCTAAACACAGCAACCATGGAGAGTGTTCAGAGGAGTTGTTCAGATTAATACCTACAGCTGAGTTTCATCATCGGACGTCGAGGCAGAATGCGAAATTCCACCCATATCACCTCGATGTCCGCCGTTCCAAGTTCAAGGAAATTTTTGCCGCGCACCACCACTATGTGGAACTAGCTGCCCACTGAAGTATTTCCGAACCAATTCGACTTACGGTACCAATTCTTAAAACGCCGACAACGCCCTCGCGAGCCCTCTGGCATTGAGAGTGTCCATGGGCGGCGATATCACTTAACATCAGGTGAGCCACCTGACCGTTTGCCCACTGTTCTATAAAAAAAAACATTGTTTCGATAGTATTGCTCATTATTAATATTGCTTATATCATTAATTAAAGTATCTTAAAATAATCTCCGTAACCGTCATTTTATTTAAATTTAAAATTACGCTCTTAATGAGGTTTAAGTTTCTATTTACTGCTATGCTTTTGTTTGTAATTTTGTTCTAATATCTGTGTGTGTAAAATTTGTGACGTCATACTTTCTTGTATTTCTGAAGCATTTTTGGAACACGTCTGCTCCACAGCAGAATGCTGAGCCAGGGCCAATTACAACCACACCACACACACATTACACACTTAAAATTTACCTTATTCCTTTAAAAAAACATATTATTTCTTCCTTTTCTTGATTATTATTATTATTTTGTGTGTTTCTGAGTGTGTGTTTCGTTAGTAATAAATGTTATGTCTATGTCTTATCCAATAAAGCAGGACGGTGAGCGAGTAAATATTACATAAAGACAGAATTGTATAATAAAAACACTTTCAATGTTACGAATTTGATAAACCTACGGAATTTTTTTCCACGATTTAGATCCCTTCATTATGTAATGTAGATATTATCAACAATGTGCACGTAACAAAGGTTCCCATAACATTATATAAAATATAATTATCAGCTGTGAAATGACAAACTATTGTAAAAGCAATATACACTTGATGTATATTTTGTAATTAATACTTTGGTCAATTTGTCGAATTACGGCACCCCCTTATAGGTATAGGTAGGTTAGTGGATCAGTTTCCGGACTTAGACTCATAATTGGTCCGTTATGCGTAAAGTCCTAGCTAATTTAGCCAGCCTTGCTCCTTCTAGAAGCAAAGAAGTCTCCTGGGCACTTCACAAGCTTCACGGAGCGACCTCACTGCTCCGAGGGCTCCCTTAACAGCTCCAAATTTTTTTCTATCGTTTTTTACGACTTGTATGTAATACCCCAAGTAACATTATAACCTGATCATGCATGATGTAAATGATATTGTCCCAGTGAATTACATTAGGTTAGGTATTTTTTTTTTGAAGTTATACTGCTTTTGGCGCTTTAGGGCAAAATTATGAGAATAAATTTTTACGATGCGCGCGAACACCGTCACAAAAAGCGACACCCTGCAGTTAGCTATAGTCAACATTTTAGTTTTTTCTATTGTTAGTGTCTTTTTTTCTACAAACGTAGAATAAAATTTTTAAAAAGATTTTTATCTTGTTACGCCAAAGAAGTGTAACTTCTAAGGCGTGAGATCTATAGTGCGCACTTGGACTTTGCTCAGACTTACCTTACGAAAAACTTTGCTTAGTGTACACTAAGGTTAAACTATGATTTCGTATTTATAGACATTTTAACGGTGAGATTAAGCTAAGCCCAAGCTAAGACAGAAAATGTCAAAATACAAATTGATGTTTCATTTCATGCAATACTTTGTTTATTATCCTTTAAAAAAAGTTAACAATAACAAATATTTAAAAATCTAAAACGGTACACATATATCTTCAATTTATTGTTATTTATGTATTCATTTATTTTATTATTGCAATAACTAGAAATTCACGAGTAACCTTTAGAAAATGTATTAATTATTTAAAGATGACAATAATTTTATTACGTAGAACGGATCGCAATGTTTTGGTTAGGTTATAGTTTGAATTTCGTTGTCACTATAATATGCCAATTGCCAGGGCTGCCAGGTGACATACAAAATCACACCAGTTATTTTTAAGATTTCTCAAAAATGGGGTTTGAACAATTACATAAATAATATAAATAAACAACAATAAATACCATAATAATGTGTAATTATTTTATTTCATGCATTTCATAGGTATTTATCAAGATCATTTATAATTTCTTTGAATTCAAATTCTATTTTTCCCAAAGTCTATGGAACTCCGATACAAAATGGCAACACCGTTCATTAAAAACCGACAAAAATAAAAAGTCCAGTAAAAGATATGATGGTAAAGCAAATTTTGGGCCATTATTTTTGTTAGGCTTATAGTCAAAGTTTTTGGTAAGTCGTCGATTTCGTGGACTTGAGATTAAGCTAAGCCAACACTAGGGAGAGATTCGCAGTTTGCTCTATAAATACCGACTGTGTCTTAGCTCGATAGTTAAGTCAGAGCAAAGTCTAAGTGCGCTCTATAGATCTCACCCTAAGGCGTGTACATAAGTACATATACGTTTTGTTTTTTTTATTCTAAGTGGCGTTTGTGATCAGGTTAGGTTTGGTCAAAGCCAAAAACTTGTACCATCTCTCATTCATTTCCGTATCATGAAGTTTTAATTAATTTCTAAGATGTAAAAGAGCATGCCACACCACATTATTGCATGTTACACCATTGCCGAGTGATTAAAATATCTAGAAATAAAATTGGAGCTGTTCTATGGTGGAGCCGTAAGTAGTAGGATAGTTATCTGTTCCGATCACAGAGGTAACATTATAATTTCATGATAGCTAATTTCTTATTCTTTGTCCGGGTCACAGATAAATAATCAATTTAAACATGAACTGTCAAACTTGCAGTCTTAACAGTAGCTACATAAAAAACGCAAAAACTATTTATCAAAAAGATGATATAATTTTATAAATTTGATTTTTAGTATTCTTACGCCAGGTATAAATGAACGCTAAACTGTTCAATTATTTTTAATGGACTTTAAAATAAATAGACTTAACGATAGAGATAGAGTCTTAGAGATTTAAAATCTATTAAAATCCCTCGAAGCCTACTGTAGCTCCACATCGTACAATTTAAAAAAATACTTGCTTTGTCTTAGTCTTCCATTTAATAAGTAAGTTCTGACCTAATTCCCTATGCGTACGTTTTTAATAGAGTAGGATGTTTTTTGTTTTCAATTGTCACAGCCTATATTTTCAATATCACGATAATTTCACATGGTCACGACAGACGTTCGCAACAACACCCACGCCCAACCTTGTAATATAGAGTGCAGTGATGTGTCTAATTAATCGTATTTAGTATTGAAATCTTGTCTAGTGGCGCAAGAAACTTTATATTTTTTATTACAAATATCTACAGGGAAGACTGTAGAAAACTTTTCCTCTTGAACATTTCATTTAGCTATCACCCTTATCAAATAGGCTAGTGTTTAAGCTAAGTAATAAAAAGAGAAACAATTGTTTAACTTACCTTAAAACAGAAACGATTGTTTTACGTACACCTAAAAAGCGGAAATTTAGAAAATACAGAAAAAATATTAATCCTAGACTACAAAAAATTGTAGAATGGGGGTTATTCGGGTTCCACTAAGGTTGTTCTATTTCTGGAGTACCGCTTGACACTCGTTTTGGGACAGCCTGTATATAAATGAAAATCAATATTTTTTTTATATTATGGAGAAAATAGTTCAAAATTATTGTTTTATTTAGAATTTATTTGTTTTTATTCTGCCTATGCGAACAGTCCCTATGGGGTATCATAGCATAATATTCCGTATGTAGCTACTAAAATGGAAGTAAAAAAATTAAGGCGAAACGAACGCGCGGGGTCGCTAGTACATTAAAAGTCATTTCTTTTGGGGCTTGATATTATGTAGGGTATATAAAAATATAATGGATACAGTAAATGGTATGATGCGTTAATTAAACTTTCAGAAATGTTTCTATTCATTAACTGTTAAGATGGTTGTGTATTTAATTGAATAAATATTTTATATTGAGAACTTCAATCTTTATGGCAGCGGGTCATCCGACCTCTCTGGACTCCTTGTTTCCGAGTATATAAAATATCTTCCCTTTTTGAACTGGTATTTTAAAATTATTTTTGTTTTCAGATAATACATAGCTGTGATGAAAAATGTATAAACAAAAGCTACTACTCTTGGTATGTATTTTTTTTCGTTCTCTAGCCGTATTCATTAACTTACTTTTAATGTCATAAAGCAATTAATTTAATAGAAATATTTACGTAAAGTGCAAATTTTATACACGTTAATAAATCTTTCAATAAATATTTAATTGGAATTTATCACAAATAAAAAATATATTAAATTTTCCTCAAGGTTACGTATGGCTACCTACGGTTCCAAGGTCAGGGGATGCTTTAAATTAAAAAAAATATGAAGTATTCCCAGTATCAATAAGGCTAAATGCTAGTGAATTAAGCCAGCCATAAAAACTAAATCAATCTAATTACACTAATTAAAAGACTTTCACGTATTTTCTTTGTGATTACACTGAGATGAAAAAACTATGAAGTTACAATCTAGCGCCCTAATGCTAATTTTAACCGTATCTAGCGCTTTAGTCTGGATTGGACTGGATTTTAGTTGCAACGCTCAAAATTAAGAAATGCTAGAGAGCGCTTTCACATATAACGCCCTGACTCGTATAGGTTTAGTAAATTTTATGTTTATTCTCATATACCAATTAAAAATCAATACTCATAAAATGCATGAACTATTAATAACCAACGAAGCGTGTATTTCTTTAAGGCAGACATGAGTTTCACTTTTTGTATTCTCACATATTTATTGTTAAGTGTTAATGCGGTAAGCGTTTAATATTCGTTATTTAACGAATGACGTCATATAACTGTGTACCATACATGTACGTACATTTTAACGAGAAATAAATCAGGATGGTTTGGTGCGCTGTCCACCTGCGCATGCAAAAATTTAATAAACTAATTTTGATATCAATTATTTTAATATCTAAGTCCTGATATCGCGCTATATGGTACGAAAAATATTTTTTTTTCCAGATAGTGAGATATTTTTAAGAATAGCTGTGGAAGTCGTGTAGTCATCCTGTCGTATTGAACAGTGAAAAGAGATTTGTACTTTTGTATGGAACTAATAAACTCAAAAACTACTGAATCAATGTAAAAAATTCAATCACTTAGCTACATAATCATTGAGTAGCAAAGACTATTATTAAAATTAAAAAACATATGTTGTATGAAGCAGGAACAACAATATTGAAAAATTTAATAACTCCAATTCAGACATTATTTATTATTTAAGTAAACATATTCGTAGATAGTTCGTTTAACCTTTCCTGCGATTCCCAGTGCAGTGATAATTGTTTCTGATGATAATTGTAGAATTTGAGTCTGTTCAAGAAATGAATGTACCATTAGGAGGTAAACTTTAACTTGGACTTCAAACAAACTATTTACCTTAACTTATTTTTCAGCTATACAACAAAGATGTTATATGTATTATTGAAAAGGTAAACAGTTATTCAAAAATATTTTTGGGGACCTAGTTTAAATGTTTGTGAAATCTATATATAGACCTTTGTATAATGAAGTTATATCTATTTCCGGTTATATATATGTGGTTTATTCATAAATAAAACGTAACCGCACATTCCTATGCAAATTATGTCCATAAATAATTTTATAGAAAAGTATCTCATGAATATATCAAATTTCTACGCAATGTGTAACTATTTTGCAATATATTTTATAATTTATTTTTATTTATTCGTTCATAATGGAATGCGGTCAAAATTCTGTACTCTCCTTAAGCTTTTTGTTGTCAAAACATTTTATTTCTGGAAACATCGGAAGTATAAAAAATAGGTGAAGCAAATCCAGAAATTGGGAAGTGATGTACAGATTTAGAAACGCTTGCTTATACGTATATATATATATATATATATATATACCTTTTGAAAGTAGGTATACTAATTGTGTGAGCCTTGGCACGTACATAGGGAATCATCACGCTTATAAAACTAAGAAAGCCTGAGTGAGCAAAATGTACAGCCTTGGCTCGTACACTAATTTTTTTTAACTAGAATGAATAAAATACCAACCGTTCACCTAATAATAGTTCTTCCCGATCAGACCAACAAAATAATAGTAAATTTTCAGGGAGTCCCCATATGCGAAACCATTAAACCGAAAAACGAAAATCCCAACCTACCATCACACGAACCACTGCTACCAAACATCAAAAACGGAAAATTATACAACTGCACCTCGGGCATATGTGAACCTGTCAATTTCTACTCTCTAACCCAATTATCAGATCCTTTAAAGTTTTGCTATCAACAGAGCAATGAATACAAATGTCAAAAACTCAAATACAACAACTACAAGAACGTAGACAAAGTTTTATTCCTATCAAATAACATAGCAGGTAAAAAATTCTATCTAATTGATTGCTTAGTGTATTCTGAAGGTGCACGCGTGTGTCATAAGAAGGACGAGTCGCACGCTAAATTAATTGACACAGGCAACATTGTGCGACCAAAAGAAGCCAATATTCTGTCACAAGAAGAATTTATATGCGAGGAAGGCGAAAGAGTTGTGTGCGACTTCAACCGCTTCGTACCCTACGGTGATGTGCTGAAACATAAGGATCAAATTAAAATCGATAGCGTCGTTTTAAAAACGGGAACAATGCTGGTTAATCTTCAATATGATTGTATTGATAACTGGTGCGGCTTTGTTAGTACACCGACTCGAAGAATGGACCGCTATGAACCGCCTGGAGGTAAAGTGTATCGTTGCTATTACGCAAAGAGACAACAAGTTTGCAAGGAACTTTATAGCAAAATGAGGCCAGTTTATAACGAACGAGATTGGTTGAGTTCTTAAGTACACAACAATATTGGTCAAGTAGTATATGACATTTATATTAAATATCAGTAGTATTCTAATAACAGCGGATTTAAATTATTATATAATCATGTAGGTACAGTTAATATCGACTAGCTTCAAATAATTCTCTACATACAATCACACGTTACAATACTTAATTAAGACCTGTCAATCAAGAAGTTTTAAATAGAATCGAGGATTTTTTTAAACTAATATAGGACATTTAGTTTGTGGCGTCAATTGTAAAGTCTTTTCGGAAGCCAGTTTAAAACTATTAATCAATACATACACTAAATATATGTTGCTTTTATTCTTCTTTTGTTTTACTTCTTTTGTTTCAAGGCTACCCTACAAAACAATGACTAAATTAGTATTGTTCTAATGGCAGGTCAGTAAAGATTTACTTTGGTTTTGAAACAATAACGCTTAGTATATATTGAGGTTATTCCATTATTTTGTCTTCTTTTGTCATTATTTAGTACTGAAACTTTCCATTCAATCTGGTATATCTAGTACGAGTAAAAGGGAGCAGAATATAGAATAATGAACTCCCTTCTCGTTCACACTCACTCCGATGGCTCTGTGACCCAAATAGTGGTTTAGCCTCCAAAATGAGATTCTTCCTGTGCTATTCACCAATTGCTAGCTTTCAGCTGCATCAAGTCCTCCTCCTCTCTGTCGATCCAGCGAGACCTAGGTCGACCTACTGGTCTCCGACCACTAGGCGGTCTTAGTTAAGCCTCCTACACAACAAAACTCCCTTCTACTACTGCTAAACGGGAACACAATTTACATTTGCCTTAAATACTTGGGAGACTTAAATAGTTAGATATTATTAAGTTTAAGGAATAGAAACAAGACGGTGCCTTATGATAAAGAAACTCATTCCATTGCTTGCAAATATGTGGTATTAAGTGTCTATGACATTTCTTATCAAGTTACCCTGGATTTGGTTGTCGAATTCTTATAGTAGAAACATATAGAGGTCTATATAAAGCCGGTAAATTATTTAAGAACATCTTCAATTGAAACACCATCAGTAATAACGCCATGATGTAAGCTTTGTGAAGGTTACATTACGATATATTTTCTGTAAAAACTCCAATCAACACAACAATATACTAATTATAATTAAAGAAACGAGTTCATTATTCAAAATATTTTTAATGAGTCAATCAAACCCACTAGGAAATTATAATACTATGTATGATGTGGTAAACTTTAATAAATAAATAAAAGTATCGGAATTTTAATTCGATCGACTTTTAATCTATAAATCTTCATACACACAAATAAATATTAATATTAAACATATGTTTCATAATCTGCGTTATATAATTATGGTTTTAGTTATTACGTACAAATCAATATTATATCGGCTATTGAGATCACCTTTACTTTCGATAGTCAGTGAAAGTGGACGAAGTTCCAACTCACCTACATATGGCACCGGACATAATTATGTAATTGTTATATCAATTACGTACGACGACAATAAAATTCAATTGTTTTCTTTATGTCTACCGGATTTTCTTATGCCTTTTCAATTAAAATTAATGGCCGTAAAATTTTAATTTCTCATATCAGTACAAAAACCTAGAACAGACCTAATATAAACTTATTTACTTAATCATAAGGAGTATTACTAATAAACGGTGACTTAAACGATATATTGACAGCGATACGTAGTAATTTGCCATAGACTATAGAAAAAGCGCGGTCTACCAACAAATAGAACCTCCTTGGTACAAACCGTTGACGTTCGATATTTAAAATTTTATAGTCTGTGGAGGCATGCTTACAGCGTTTCCTCGCTCCATAATAAAGAAATAAGATCGTATTTTATTATTCGACTGAGTTATACACGCTAGATATTACAAACACATTGCATTATAAAAGTATACAGCAATTGTAACGAAACAAAATATTTAGCAAGAACAATTAATATAATAATAATTGACTTTCTCGAGTCTTAAATTACCATTTTAAGTATTCTCTACTTTTGTTGGTGGTTTTCTTTGACAAAAACATGGACTATAGGAGGTAAAGGGCGTATCAGGTACCATGGTTACTAGTTTTTTGATACGAAAAAAGAAAATATATGTCACTACCATAAAATGAAAAAACTCTGTATAAGTCAGGCCGCACACCAGGCATACATTTGTTATTTACGTCGCCACAATCGTTGCGAAGTCGTTGCGATACAATTGTATGCGCTACAAATGTATTCAAAATGCGCACATCGGTAGCACAGTTGTAGCGTGGCACCGCTTTGAGAAGGTCGACATCATCGTCTTATGACATAGATTTCTTGATGTGGCGATTAATGAGAAAAAAAAGACGTTATTGGGTTCATCCGTTTAATGAAGATTGCACAAAGTACGGGAATTTTTCGCCAATCTTAGTCCAAATTATTTCTGTAATCCGTCTGTTACTATAATCATTGAGCGTGTGATTGTATAAAACAGGGTTTTTTTCAACCTCTGCAATAAACTCAACGTAAAATTCAATGTTGTCCTTAATTTTTGCAAACCAACGCGACACAAAAAACGAACGTGTTCGATCTTGAATTTGTGTGGCGCGGAAACTGTCTCGCTACAAAGTGCGCCCGCCACAAATGTTTCCTCGGTGTGCGTGCTCACGTACAAATGTATGGGGGCGTTAAATGTGTCGCGTTTCAAATGTGGCGCTACAATTATCGAGTTACAAATGTATGCCTGGTGTGCGGCCTGACTAAAAGTGAAAGAGTTTTCGAAATCGCATCAATAGTAGTGAAGAAAAAGGCAACATGTGCAAACATAAATTCTTCCATTACAAAATTAAGAACTGCATTTCGTAAAGACTATTTACAGTGAAACATCGTAATACGAGCGTTATTAACTATTAGTGCGTTTCTTTCGCCTTTAAATGGAATCCCGGACGCATTTGCAAAAACATAATGAATTAGAAATGATTTAAAACACCAATGGGCGTATGTGTACTGAAACACAATATGACTTTATAGTGAGTTGTGGCATTGATAACAAAAACATATGGTAAACGTGATAAGAATCAAAATACCAGTATCTGGGTCAGCTCATGTTTCAAATCCAAGGCTGTAGAAGGTTCCAAAATGTTAGTCTATGGTCTATATAATATATAATATTATGATAAAAGAACATAGACCTCTTGCAGTCTTATTAGCTTCATAAACACATTTTTTCTCCGAATGTTAAATAGGCATATAGAGAGCTGAGAGAATTTCCATTTATTGAAGTATAAAGAAGAAAAGCATAGATACAAACAAAAAGGGTATGTATTATATATTATTATTCAATTGCATACCAAATTGAATTAGGGTCCTTCAAGAAAAAAGCATACCAATTCTTAAAAGGCCGGCAACGCACTCGCGAGCCCTCTGGCGTTGAGTGTTCATGGGCGGAATCACTTAACATTAAGTGAGCCTCTTTCTCTCCGCCTTTTCAACATAGAAGTAAACATCTAATGCCTATAGGTATGCTAATAGTTTCAAAGTTCAGTAACATATTTTATAATCTAAAACCTTTTTTAGTTAATAATAATTTATACTGTCTGGAAATATTTAGTAGTGAATATAAGTACAAGCAATTTTCTAACATAATGGAAAATTCGACCTAAATTTTTTGATACATATCTTTATTACCAAGTCGTACTATAAATTATAGTTGGACACAAAAATGCTGTTAATGTGACTAAAAGTTGTAAACTGCAAGTAGCGTAGAACAAAGCTAATGTGGAGCAACTTATTGGGCCGGTAACCTGCGGCTTGCGTAATGCATGACCGCAGTGTTTTCTAGGGCTGAACATTACTTATTAATTTATTCTTTTCTCAGTAATACACGGACACAATCATTTCTTTTTCTCGTACAGTTCAAGTAGTTCACTCGATTCAGTGTTCTTTAATATAGGATTTGTCTTTGAAGGTTTTTGGTACTTACTCTTTATTTAGTTCATCACAGATTATAAACGAAAACAAATAAACGTGGTAATTGTTATTATTGTATAATTGTTATAGTAGACATTTTATTAATCTACAATACTTAAGAAGAATAAAAAATAAATCAGTGGCGCTACAACCTCTTTTAGGTCTGGGCCTCAGATATCCCAATCTGCTTCAAGATAATTTTTCAATCTAATAGGAAAGTAGGTGATCAGCTCCTGTGCCTGAAACACGCCGTCCACTTTTTTGGTCTAAGACATGTCGGTTTCCTCACAATGTTTTCCTTCACCATTCGAGAGAATGTTAAATGCGCACATAGAAAGATATTCCATTGGTGCACAGCCGGGGATCGAACATACGACCTCGGGGATGAGAGTCGCACGCTGAAGCCACTCGGCCAACACTGTACTAAGAAGAATAAAACCAATCAAAAAAGTTCTTCTTTGGGTCTTGATCTCGAAGTTCTGTATCTCATAATATATTTTTTTATGGCTAGTACAGCCTTTTGAGTTTGGCAGACGTCTTCGATGTTTGTTTCTAACACATGCCAGTTTTCTTTACGATGTTTACCTACATCGTACAAGCAAGTTTTGTCCAAATAAAGCCGTGATTTGACCGCATAAAGAATGTGTTAGTGTACATTTCGATTGAGTAAAAAACTGTTAATATTTTTGTACGTTGCATATATTTTTTAATAACCCAAGCGTAATACGTAGCCATGACAATCTCTTTCACACTTTACATAATAAATCAGATTATAATAACTTTTAAATAGGCAACCCTGCGCTTGCGCTGTGACTCGCAAGTTTCTGTCAGTCTCACGCTGACCATTAGGATACACCCACTAATTTTATAAACCTGAGTCTATGGTATTCGTTAGTGACCTACTTACAAAATCGCAGATTTATGAAAGACTAATTTTGAATGCGAGTTAACCATGCGTGGGTGTTGTTATGAAAGGCCCAAGGACACAGGAGAATTATAATATTAGCGAAATTGTGTTCGCCTCGGAGACATGGTCAGCCACTTAGTGTAAAAT